GCCTTGATCCCAGCAGCCAGCGGCCTCACCCGTGAGATCCCTAGCCTGGGCTCCATGCAGGCCAAGAGGTGGCTCAACGCCCGCAGGAGGGGAACTGGACTTCAGTGAGGACAGTACTGATGGGGACCGTGGCACTAGGGCACTTGGTAACTGTAAGGACATTTTTACTAGCCAGTGAGAGAGTCCAGGGCCAAGGGGGGCTAGATGCACAAGGGGACAGGAGAGCAGGAACAGAATAGAGAATGCCCCTAAAGGAAGTGGGGTGAGTAAATAAATATTAAATGTGCCAAGCTGGCAGTTTAGAAAAATTAATTCGATCAAACTACTTGTAGTTAGGGGGCAGTACAATCCCCTAATTAGTAAAGATGAGTCCATGATTTGACTCATGTACATAAAACCAGTGGGGAATGAAGTATGGTACCTATTTGCTTTGTTTAACAATGGACAGGTTACTTTGATTTTCTAAATTGTATGTCATCCCATTCGATTGAATGCCTTATTGGTTGTAACGTGACTATCCCATTGATTGTGATCTTACTGGTTATCGAAGCACATTCTTCTGTACCTGGGAAACAGGACAGCACAATTATCCGAAATTGTTTTAGTGGCCACAGATGATGCATTCCAGTTGACTCAGTGGTCCCAAGACCAGGACAGCGCATTTACTCTAAATTGCCTCGATGGCTCTAGATAATGAGTTCCTGGCAACTCGGGGGTCTCAGGACCCGAGGGCTCTAGATGGGGTGTTTCTGTCAATTCAGTAACCCCGAGACCCAGGACAATAATTAACATGCTTAAATTCTGCTTCTGTAAACTGCTTTTTTTTTTGCGAACCAGTTTCCTCGTTCCAAGCCCTGGGATGTAATCAATACCTTTATGATTTTTGTGTTCATGATATGTAAATGTTATACTGGATGCAGAAAAGCAAAATTTAAGACAAACAGCAAAAAGACTCGGATCATGATGGCTCCAAAATTAGAAATGATCCAGAATACTTTTTAACAAGGACGTATAGGACCTGACTGCCTCCCATTTACCTGCCCTTTTTTAAATAATAATAATTCGACCTTAAATGCCATCTAAGGTTATGGTCTTGCCCCATCCCCAGTGGTCCACCTGTTCAGCAAGACATGCTGACACTGAGACACCCTAGGAATGAGCCTTCCTAGCAACGTGGGACTCCATTATCCAACCAAAAGGTTGGTCACCAATGCATCCTTTGGATTGATTTATGACCCAAAGGGGGATGTGTGGACGAAAGGGGCCACAGGCTGACCTGACAAGCTCAGGAGAGGCCTGCGTGGCAGTTCTGCAGACTCAGAGACCTAAAGTCACCACAAAGGATGGTCTGAAATTAAACTTTAACTAAAAGCAGTGATGGTGGGCAGTTATGTCCTAGGCCAGTATCTTCACTGACAAGATCAACTTTGATCCTTACTGAGCCCATTTGCCTTTTTGCCTCTAAGATAACATACCCTTGAAATGTCTGGGTAACTTGTAACTTCCCTTTTTTCTGGAGCCCCTGGGGCACAACCAAATGTTCTGGGCGCCAGGACAGATACTACAAATTCCTTCATTATCATGTTAATTGATCCTGCACCCACCTAAGTATGTGTCCATCATTTTACTTTTTATCCTATCACAGAGGTCCCCCCCCCCTTCGCTTAATCCCACCTCCTTAAATCTGTCACCAATGAATTTCATGTATAAATACGGATGTAACCCTGCCATTCTCCGGAGCACTATCTCAATTCATTGAGGTTCTGCTTCCCGGCATATGTCGACAGTTTGGCTCAAATAAACTCACAAAAATTCTTTACAGGTTTCAATGGTTTTTTTACGTTAACACTCCCCAAGGCTGTTTTCATGGTTGCAGTTTGTAAACTTTGAGATAAGCCGTGAGTACAGTCTGTCCAGACCCGGAGCTTCCCCATCTCTTCCTCGTGCCACGGCCAACCTCCCACCATGGCCGCCCTTGCACCACGGTGGGGAGGCTGCCGGCACATCAGGTTCTCCTGGGAGGAGCTGAGTTGAGGCTGCTTGGCCTCTGTGCTTCGTGGGCTGGTTCAGGGCCAAGTGCTGCTGCCCCACCCCCACCCCCTGCCCACAGCGCCCACCTCAGGACAGGTGGCCGAACATGCCCTGCAGAGTGGCTGGCTCGGCCCTGAATGCTGTCACCTCACAGGGAGGTGGGTGAACCAAGCCCAGGTCCCCGGAAGGAGAGTCGCCGGCTGTCCTGGGGCCATCAGGCCTCCCCCTGAGCCCACAGCCCCACCCCAACTGCCCCGCGCACACACTCTGCAAACTCAACTCTCCCAGGAGGTTCTCGGTGAGTGGGGTGGGGGACCTGGCTCTGGATTGTCCTCTAACGTGTCCTGGGCTCTGGCTGAGCCCTCCTGGCCCCCCCATGTGGAGCCCCTTCCTCCCCCTGCTGCTCCCTCCCTCCCCGGCCCTGGGCTCCACCAGGAAGCCCCCACTTCCCAGCCTGCCCTCCCACCAGCCTCTAGCCCTGCCCTCCCACCTGCATGCTAATATCCCCCCCCAGTGGTGAGTCCATTCAAACCAACTTCCCAGGGGGCATTGCTGCTGGTCACAGGCTCTGCTGGGAGCCCGGGAATCCACCTGTGCCGGGTGACTCACCAGGTGGGCTTTTCCTGGTGGCTGGGGCTGGAGGAGGGCAGAGCGATGCCCTGCGGCCGGGGTGCTGGGAGCTGGTGACTCAGCTGCAGGCCCTGGGCAGTCGCACCTGTTTCCTGGCCCTGAGTCAGGCCCACAGCAGCCCCCGCCCCGCCCCCCGGGGCCATGTGGGAGCCCATCTGGCTGACGGGATATGGAGGATGCCGAGGGAGAGGGCAGGTGGCTGGGGGTGGGGGGGGGGGGGCAAAAGGGAGGGCTGTTGTCGGAGGCGAGGGGGCATTGCGCCTGGGGCCTGGGCTCTGCAGAAAGGCGCCTGCCTCTCAGGGCCGGATACTCAGAGGACTTTGGAGACAACGAGCATTCACAGCTCTTTAGTAGGAGAACCCACATACGAAAAGGTGCACAGCGCGTGCTGGGCCGGCTGCATGGCTGAATGTTGGGTCCTGTGTTTCTCTTTAGTGTCTGCTTCCTCCTCCCAGTTGTCTGAGCCTCCGTGTGGCTTCGGGCTCTGTAACCACTGACCCCGGGCGCCGGCCTGAGTCAGCCGGCCAGAGCCTGTCAGGGTGACGGTGTCTGGCGTGTGGCCAGCTCGGTGTGGACGGATTGAGAGTCACTTAGAAGGGAGTGGGCACAGCAATGGCTATTGGTTCACATCCCTGAGAGCCGGCTGTCCTGTCGGGAAGAGCTCACACCCCCACCTGCTTCATCCACTCCTGTGTCCGCAGGAGTTTGGGGAGGACAAAGGAAACCTAGCGGAAAGGTGTCGGGTGGGCGGTGTGGCGGGATCTGTCAGCAGCCCTCCCTGGGCCTCCTGCCCGCACCGTGACTCCCCGCAGCGTGCACTCCCCGCACCGTGCACTCCCCCACCGTGCACTCCCCCCACCGTGCACTCCCCGCACCGTGCACTCCCCCCACCGTGCACTCCCCGCACCGTGCACTCCCCGCACCGTGCACTCCCCCCACCGTGCACTCCCTCCACCATTTTGCATGGTGGGAGGATTTGGCAGAGAGAGCTCATTTCTGGGGCCGGCCTGGCTCAGCCAGGGCAGGTGGGAACATTTCTGAGCTGTGGATGGCTTGCCATCCTAACAGGTGACAACTCCTACCAGCAAGCCGGTGTGCTGGGGGTGCCTGGTTGAAGCATCAGCCCTCCCAGCTTGAGTGGGGGGTTGGCCCTCAGGTGTGGTATAAACTGCGTGTAAGGGAAACGCCTTCATATAATCCCCAGGAGTTCTGAAATAACTGCATAAAATGCTGATTATCTGACATTCATTTACTCAGCAACTTCTTCAAACTGGCACAATAGTAATGAGCGACATTCGAGTACATGATTATCCTGTAACGCCTTATGCATGACTAAAGAGACTGAATGGCGTAGCTTTCAGATTGTGCTTGCAGAAGGTAGACAAGAATTCTTCAAAACTGGGCATTTCTATGTGGACTGTATATGTAATTGCGTTTCTCCAAATCTTGATTTAACCAGAATATTTCCTTACCAGATTCACTGCCCATAATTTAAATCCACATTAAACCCAGATGTCCTCTCCATGGACCTGCAGAGTCTGGGCAGAGAGAGAGAGATTGTGACCCTCTTCCATCCGACTGTCCCTTCATCCAGGGACAGGCAAGGCCTTCGGGACTCTGCCTTGTCTCACTGTGCAGAGCAGGGCGGGGCATGGTCCGCACAGCTGGGACTTTCGGGCTCCATTCCCTGGAGGTCAGAGCTGTCTCTGGTCCTCACACAGGCAGGGCGTTCTTTCCCACCCCACCCCCCTTTCTGGCCGTGGCAAGCCCCAGTGCCTGTAGATCCACAGAAGGACTTCCTTGTCATATAAGCCCCATTCCCTTGCCTAGTCCCCTTTGTGATGCTGTAAACATACTAAGTATCAGCGTAAAATAACTGTATCCTGACCTAAGTCTTACGGTAGCATCACTCAGAGGCTGCAGGTGGGTGATTCGGGAGACGAAGGCACGTCTCCTTCCACTGGGACCCACCAAGCCCTTGGTGTCTCAGGAATGGTTGTCACTGTGCCCTTGGGCCCAAGAAACACCTACCAGTTCTGCTCCTGAAGTAGTTTGGGCTAAATAGCCTGATCAGTATTTACATCCTAACAACTAAGAAACCAGTTGGAAAAGAAACACATAAATGGAAAGTACTTCACCTGGTGACCAGCAGATGTCGCTGTGCTTTCTTTGAAAATAAACTTTCCGGCGGCTTCCTGGTGAGTGTGCTGCTTACTCCAGGGTACCTCAGCCAGCAGTTTGGGAACCTGGGTATGCAACATTGTTTAGGATAGACTATCCCTGGAGCTCAAGCTAAGTAGCTTTATGGCAAAGAAAAAGGGTGTAATTAGTAAAAACTTACATTAACTTGAAAGTTTTTATAGGATAAAAAACAAAGAGGACAAAGATAAATTTAAATGACTTTACACATGATAAATCCATGATATATTTTCATGTTTGAACGTTCTTCCGTGTGCATGTGGAAGGAAAACAATATATGCATCAATTAATTTTAATTGTCTTCCTTACAGATGTCCCTAAACCAGTGACTACTTTAGTAGGAAGATTTTTGCCAGTGCCAGCAAAATTAAATCTCATTACACAACAAGTGAGTCATGTTTTAACAAAACAACAACTGTCTCTTGAAATTTTGATTGTCAAAGTTTGGAATTTCTCAGGAAATATAATTATCCTCCCTTTAAAGATCCACAGTGAACCATGTACCAAGTGTTCAGCCCCGTGCCCACAGTGACAGGCCTGGGAGGGGTGGATCCGACCAAGATGCGGCTCTTTGTCCCCCAAAACAAAGCAACATAAGACACATGACTCTAAGCTCCTGCAGGAGACAGACAGCAAACGGACCTAAAAAGGGAGTCACACTGTGCGCCGGGACAGCAAAGGATGGGCACAGGGCATGGGGGTTCGTGGGAGGAAGGCGGGCCCGTTGGCTCCACTGAGAAGGTCTTGAAAGACGGAGGGAGGGAGCCAGGTGGTGCCTCGTGGAGGCAGATTCCAGGCAGGGCCCAGCACGGAGAGCAGGACAGCGGGGGCTGGGGTGAGTGAGCGTGAGCGTGAGCGTGAGCGGGAGGAAGAGGCAGGTGATGGAAGGGCTGTGCCTTCACTGGGCTTAAAGGGGCCGGCCCAGAGGAGGGGCAAGGCCAGTGGTGACCGAGCCCTAACAATCTCAGGCCGCGGGCATGGAGGTGGCGAGAAGCAGCAGCTCCTCAGGGTGCTTTGAAGGCTGCGCCAGTGTTTGTGAGAGGCTGGATGTGGGAACCGGAACCAGCGGAGCCCAGGATGCCAGGGTCTTCAGCCTGAACATGGGCCAGGGGGAGTGTCCTCGGAGCTGAGAGAGGGGAGTGGGGGCAGCCTGAGTGCCCCTGGGAATGTGGAGTTGTTGGGAGTTGGCTCAGAGGGCGGAGTCGGCACACCTGGGATTGACAGCCACCAGACTAGAGATTTCTGAGTCTGGTTTAGAGTTAATATTTGTTGAGTAAATTTTTCTCAAATGATACAATAGGCAGGAGGGAAGGATTGCTAATGAGACATCAAATGTTCATGAGTCTAAGCCGTGGTCCTGTGAGCGCCGTGCACCTCCTCTCTCCCTCCTGGCCACCCACACCACCCCCCACCCCCACCCCCACCCCTGCCTCGGCTCCAAAAGGCCTCCTCCGAGCTCTCAAAGGAGAAATGCCCTTTAGACCACGCCTCCCCCCGGCTTTCCTTGACTGTGATGATTCTTGTCCCCATTCTGGCTCCCCTGACTTCTTACCCTGTGGACCTCGGGCAATTCTCCTAGCAATGCATCTGCTGCCTCCCTGGAACCCCTGCTTCCCCTGCTCCTCAAGGTGTGCTTCGAGGACCCGCGCGTGGGCGTCCCCTGGAGCTGCTAGAAACTTGGCTCTCAGCCCCACCCAGAACCCGCATCCCAGCGAGGTGCCAGGGATGTGGGTTCCTGTCTCCACTCCTGGGTGCCAAACGCCGCTGAAGAAGGCTGTGGGTTCCAGCAAAGGTTGCCCTAGGTTTGCTGCCTGCGTGGCCCTTAGGAGACATTCCTTTTTCTCTGCGTTACTTTGGGCCTAAGCAGAGGGGGAAGAAACTGCCCCTGGTTTATGCAAAGAATGGCCTCAGCCCCGTGAGATCCTTTCTCCGAAAGAATCGCAGCTCTTTGGACGGCCGTGGGGACGGGTGTCTGGGACGGAGTCACGCGCGGGCACGTCCCTCCTGTAAACGGAGTCCCCGTGCCAGTGGGAGGCTTTGCACAGAGTGGACCAGGGTGGTTGCTCGGTGTCCTCGAGCCCCAACAGGCAGCGGAGACACACAATTTAAAAAGAGGCGAGAGGGCGGCGAGGAGGAGGATGGGTAGAACGGTGTTTTTCCCAGGCTGTACTGCGTAAGTAAAGCTTATTTTAAAATTTCAAGTTTTCAGTGGAGGGACAGGATAGGGCGTTTAGCTGTGACATAGACAATCTCAAAACCTAAATGTATCCAACCCTTTTCATTTCTTCAAGCTCTGAGAGGGAGAAAATTAGGTCAGCGATGTTGCTAGCTTTTCCTTTCCCTGTGAGCCGCGCTGCTGAGGAACAAAGAAAAATAAGCTGGAACCAGGACAGCCAAGGCCGTGGATAAAGCAGAGATTACGACATTGCTTTTGAATTCGTTAAGATTGACTATGAAATGCTCCTTTTGAATAGATGAAAAAGTAATGGTTGCTAATGAGACATCAAATGTCAAGATCGCTCATGTTACACTAAGGATATAATAATAATGGCCATTTTTAGTTTACAGAGATTGGTAATTGAATTTATTTCACAAAATGAAAAAGATGTCCAATACAGTTCTAGCCAGCGGCTGACCGCTGTGTGTGCTGCCTGCCAGCTGGTCGGTGGCCTGGACCCAGGTCCCAGACCCCTCCCCTCGGTCCGCAGTCATGGCATGTTCCTGCTAACAGACCCAGACTTGTTGGGAGGGATTGCCAGGTAGACTGGAGCCTTCGGGGCTGATGGCACGGTCCCGCTAACAGACCCAGACTTGTTGGGAGGGATTGCCAGGTAAAACCAGGAGAAGGGTTGTTTTCCTCTGTAGCTAGGGGCTGACTGGAAGGAACATTTAAAACATCCACTAATTCAAAATATGCTGGCCTTGACTCTGCAGCTGGACCACGGAGCCCAGCCGGCCCCGGCCTCGGGGTCTGCTCTGCCCTCGGGACCAGCCCTCCCCGCACCGCCCCGGATAACGCTGGCTGGGTAAGGACCAACGCCATCAACAGTCACTCCTTCAAGAGTCTAAGAGGCTCTCTCGGGTGCACTGTCATTTTCCTCTAAGTGGAAGCGTTAGCTTTGCTGCAGCCTCACCAGCAATAAAAGAGCTTTTGGAAGGAGCAGCGCGAGACAGTGTCGTGTGCGTGGGGCTGGTGTCGCCGGGAGGCCCCACGCCGCCCGGCTGTGTTTCAGAGGCTCCGTCTGCTTCACATTGGTTCACGTGAGCTGTTGTATTTCTTTTTTCTTTCTTGCTGTCATCCACATGAGCAGTGGCGTGGCCGTCACTGACTGTGGCTGGTGGTCTTGGTGCACCTTCCACGAGGTCCCTCACGCTCTCCGGCAGCGCCGCCAGGCGGTCTCCGAGGAGACGTGGCTGCACTTCCTGCCTGGGACCTCAATGGCCATTTTCAAGTGGCGGCTGTAATTGTAACTCAGTAAACTCGCCCGGCTGGTTGCAGCTCTGTTCACATTCACGGACCAGCCGGGGACAGGGACGGGCAGCCCTTCCCGCGCAGGCAGCCTCTGTCCTGCCCCCAGGAGTGTGGGGCAGGCAGCCTAAGGCAGCGGGCGTGGGTCTGACGGAGGCAGCCCGGGCAGTGGGGGAGGGGCTCCCGCGGGGCTGCCCTGGGCACAGTTTCACCGGGTGGGCGTGGGCAGCGGGAGAGGCCGTTCTGGAGGCTGCGTGGCCGTGAGGAGTGAGCACCAGCAGTCGGCAGTCGGTGATTTCTGTTCTCCGGCTTCCCCCGGGGGAGCTGCTGTTACTGTGCTGGCCCCTGGCCCTGCTGGCTGCCTGGCAGGGCAGGTTGTGCAGCCATGAGAGGGTCATGGGCCCGAAGACACTGGTTTCCCCTCCTCGTCCTCGGGAGCTCTGCTGTGTGCTTTGGCGCGGCCAGGACCCCAAGGGGACTGGGCTCCCACAGGAGGACGTGGGGGCAGAGCCTGGTGAGGGATCCTCCCTGCAGCCCATTTCTCCCGGGCCCCTCTCCCTCTCCAGCCTCTACCAGGTTTTCTCACTCAGCACAGTCTCCTTTTTTTGAGGTCCTTATACAGGTCATAACCAATTTTCTGTTATAAATGATGTGCCAGGAACAACATGAGCTTTGTGTTCGCATTTTTTGCTGCGAATAATTACTTGATTTGCTGTCACTGCACGAACCCAGCCGGTGATCTGCATCGGAACTCCCGGTGCTGGGCCTGGGGTCTGGAGGGCGGTCAGGGGCTGCTGCTCCGTTCTGGCCCGGCCCGGCCCCAGCTCCTACCTCTTAGGCTCTCCACTAGCTTCCTTGTTGATTCCCCCAAGACAAGGCCAGACGGGGTCCGAGTAGGGACGTGCGCGCGGGTCAGCGTGGGCCTGGCCCGCCAGCGACTGGGTGAATTCACTCCCAGTCGCCCTTCAGGCTGGGTGTGAAGTGCTCCCTTACCGACTAGCTGACCACGCGGATGAAAGTCTGTCCGGCCACCGGTGTTGGTCCAACAATCCGGTCACCAGTATTGGTGTGAATTCTGACGCATCATTGCTGCTGTCATTTCTGGTAACGTAACGACGACTATAATAAGGAATATGAAGTTTCTGCTTTTCTGGAAACTTTTAGAATATGTTTGTATTGGTTCAGAGAGGAAGGGAGAGGGAGAGGGAGGGGGAGAGAGAGAGGAACCTCAGTGATGAGAGACGGTGAGGGGGTGTCCCGGGGAAGCGGGGCAGGGGCTCTGGAGCTGGAAGTGCCACAGCAGCTGGGAGCTGGCGCAGTGACGGGGTCTCCCGTTTTCCCAGGAGGAGATGGTTGACTGCGAGTCAGGGGCGTAGTGTGGACCCTGTCACACGTGTGTCCCCAGCATTCATCTCCCCCGCACAGCACTCAACGGGAGAGACAGCAAGACCAAGCCTAGAGCAGTGCGGCCTCGGGTCCCCTGCGTCTTCTCTCCCAGGAGGGTCTCCGGTGCCGTGGCGGAGGGGCGGGGACAGCTGGTGGGAAGACGGCTCTTTATTAACTGACATGTCCACCCCAACCTGCTGTGTTCCTGGGACAGCAGCAGTGGGGCCAGGGGACAGTGGGCATCAGTGGACATTTCCAGGAAATGGTTTTGACTCGGCCACGGCCTGTGACAGGCTGTGCGACTGTCCCCACAGGTACTGCGACTGCTTTGCCAGCGGGGACTTCTGCAACAACTGCAGCTGTGATGCCTGCTGCAGCCACTTACGCCACGGACTGGAGCGCTTCAAGGCCATTAAGGTAAGTGCTTCCCATTCAACGAAAGAATCTCGGAAGCACTGAAACGTCTCGCAGGCGTAAAGCCACCGCCAGAGTCTGCATTTCAGTTTGGGGAAAGCCCGGGTGTTGAAGAATGTACACCGAACGCGACAGGGAGGGAGCTTTGCCCTCCCCTGGGACGCCCCGGGGCTCGGAAGGTCCTGATTCAAGAACATGCACATGTCCACGTTGTCTCGACCTGAGAAACTGGGTCATACACGTAGCAGAGAGGCCCACGTTGGAGCAGCGTGCTCTGCAGACATGTGGCTGGTCCACTGTCCAGGGGAAATGGGGAGGAAGCTCTCAGCCATCACGAATGTCTCGATTGCGCTCCAGGACGTCCGGGTGACGGGGAGAACCTGGGCTCCCCTCAAGGCCACCGCCCTGCAGGCCGCTTGCTAACGGCTACCTGCGGGAGCTTGCAGCACCTCTTCTGTGGACACACAAGGTGCCCAGAGCAGGGAGGACAGTTAGGCTGGGGCCGGGGGCCTAGTTTGCACAGGACAGTGAGGCCATCACCGTGGACCGGAGATCACCATGCGCCATGGCTGGTCAGTTCCTTGTTCCTACAGTAATCTAACGCCCCTCTTGAATTAGAGATAAATTTGTTGAAATTGATGACACACATAACTTCAGTATAGTAGCACTTTCTTTAGGGTAAAAGGTACTGTCTGCAGTGTACAACACTTTATTTAAAAAGTGGTGGCATCCCCGTGCATTGTGGTAGGAATAGAAACTGGTACCACCACTTTGGGGAGTTGATTGGCACCAACTACTACAGCTAACCCTTGCATGTACTGTCACCCCGCAGTCCTACCTTACTGCTAACACACAGCCAACAGACATGTCCACCAGAGCCTTTACAAGAATGCCCTCAACAGCTTTACTCATAATAGCCGCACACCGGACACGACCCGGGTGTCCGTCTGTGGCAGGGCGATGAGCCTGTGCGGGCTGGCCGTCAGAGGGGCAGGACGGAGGAGAGCTGTGTGCAGCTGCGGGAGGATCTCCCGGCGTGTGCTGCTGGAGGAAGCCAGGCGGAAAGGGTACACGCTGCATGATTCCACCTGCGTGAGGTTCCAGCAGAGGCAAAACGAAGCCCCAAAGTCCAAACAGGTTCCCCTGGGGGTGTCGATGGGCAGGCATCATCGGGAGTCTCTGGGGCTGGGCCGTCTAACTTGACTGGGTGGGGCACACGGGGCACAGCCTGCTCAGAGTCCTGACCTCGTCCCGCAGCACGGGGCCCAGGTCCCAGCTGCCAGCCTGCGGACGGGACTGCGCTGTGACCCGTGTCTGTTTATGAAGAGCACCGAGTCACGTTGTTATTAAGAACATGTGCACATCTGTGTGTCTAGAGGGAAGGTAGGTAGATGGATAAGACATGTGAACAAGCCGGATAAAAGGCAGCTGAGTTGCATGAGAACAGCAAGCCCAGCGGCCGAGACCCAGGCTCGGTGGGCCTTGGAGTCGATTCCATCACTTGCCGTCGCTATGCAACCTCCAGCACCCCAGTTTCTTGCCGGGAGCCTGTCCATCCTTGCTACTTGACACAGTTGCTGCAGGAAAGAAACATCTGCACAGCATATGTTTCAAGGGACCTGGCGTATATAGCATACTGTTCTTAATATGTTTGCTCCCTTTAGTGCCTCGTGTTTTAACCAAGGTCACCTCTCCAAAAAGGTTGTTTCCCCAGGTGGGGATTTTTCCCTGAGGTTAGGGAGGGGATACAACCCCTTAATTAAGTGCCAGGCGGGTAGTTAAGCTACATAATCTTTACTCCCTGGAATGGAGATAAGAAACGCCCTAACCTTTGTAATAGAAATTGACAGGATTAAAATCGGCTGGTATAAATATGGATGTAACAAGACAATAAACATCAGATCCACATCAGCTCCTCCTCAGCTCCTCATCAGATCTTCGTCAGATCCTAACCAGAACCTAGCCAGAGAACATGGCAAAAGATCCTGGACAGAACCTGGCTACAGAACTTCACTGGAGAACCTAGACAGAACATGGCAAAAGAACCTGGATAGAACCTGGCTAAAGAACCTGGTGACCGAACCTGGCTGGAGAACCTGGCTAGAGAACCTTGCGACAGAACCTGGACACAGAACTTGGAGAGACAGAACCAAGAGACAGGACTTGGCTGGAGAACCTGGAGAACCTAGCTGGAGAACCTAGCGAGAGAACATGGTTGGAGATCCTGACCAGAACTTGCTTGGAGTTCCTAACCAGAACTTTGCTGGAGATCCTGGAGGGAGAACCTTGCTATGCTGATGAACTGAAACCAGTTTCCATGTCATTCATTCTTCGCCGACTCCGTCCACACCTTTGGGGATCCCTGGACCCGTTGGGGTTGGACCTCAACAGTTTCTGGGTCTGTAAGACCAGGGCAGCAGTCGTGCACACGCCCCACCTGGCTGCGTCGGTCCCGCGGGAAGATGCTGGAACGCGGCGCGTGGGCGGTAGTGAGCCAACGGCAGAGCCCCGGGTCCCGCTGTCCTAGGAAAAGCAACAGGAAACCCTGGAGGAGACGCGTCCACAGACACAGCCATTTCCTCGCCATCTTCACCAACCGTTCGTTTTCTACAGCAAAACCTAGCAAACATATATGACGCTGAAACCGGGTTGGGGGGGAGGGAGCAAGCCGGAGAGACTGGCTGCGGAGACGGCAAGCGTGTGAGCGGAGTGGATGGACCGGCGGTGCATTTCTCACTGACGACGGAGCCGGTCACTGTGGCTCCTCCAGGGAACAGCGAGAGCAAGTGACAGGCAAAGCTGACCTGGGGCTGGGAGGGAACCCCCAACCCACATACATGACCTTGACAGGGAATCAAACCCACGACCCTTTGGTGCATGGGCTGACGCTCCAACCACTGAGCACATCGGCCAGGGCTGTGAGCTTCATTTTTAAAAAGTTGTCATAGAAGAGATGTAAGAAAGGCCTCATGATTCTGGAGATAGGCGCTGAAAGGTCCGGCAAGCAGACCTAGCCGCCCATCCCCCCACCTTTACCCCCCCTCTACCCTCGTGCAAATCCTGAAAATACAGTCAAAACTGGTGCAGAGATGGCAAATCCTAACAGTGAGCGCAGCCCCAGGTGCTGTGGCGTCTCTCTGCTCCTCACTGCGCCCTGCTGGTTGTCGGGTGACGCTGTGTCAGCCACGTGCCTCTGCCCAGCCACGGCCACGTGAGGTGCAGGGGACCTGTAGTCCCTGGCATTATAGAGGAACTAGAAATCCTGAGAAACCTCCGTTCAAAACACCCAGAGGTGCAGAATAAAGCACACCAGGCACCTTTGAGCTGGAAGGAACAGAGGGAAATGGCAGGGGTTGGGCAGAGAGGACGCTAGAAACCCCAGTGTCCCAGGGCCAGCTTGCGGGCCGTGCCCAGGGCCGGCACAAGCAAGGGCTTGGGCCCAGGCTTGCTGGACATAGCCGGTACCCCCTTGCTGCCCCCTGCGTACAACACTGCCATGAAACAAGGAATAAAGTCCACCCACTGGGAGGCAGGTAGGCCTGCCCAGAACACCGAGCACAGGCCAGCCGGCAGGTTCAGACTCCTCCACCCCCTCATCTTCTGCCTCAGTGGGAGCCCGAGGTGCCCTCAACTGCGGGCCAAGGTGAACCCGAGCTGGGATTGTGTAACCAGCTACGCAGCTGCATTCAAAATCAGAGTTAGCGCCCCCTGGGGACTCCACCCACACTCGCCCAGCCTCCCAAAGCCCCTCCCCACTCCCTTGTCAGCCCCCACTGTGTCCCCTCTACAGCGGCACCTGGGCACGTGCCCCTCGCGCTCCTCACATCACCGCCGTGGGCTCCTCTCACTCCTGCTCTTTTGGTCTGAACATTGCTGGTTACGTGTACACCATAAAGCTATTGGAGGTCCAAACAGAATTTGTTCTTCTGGGTGATTGTAGGACAATTCTCTATTTCCAGGCCAAAATCATGTGCTCCTCTATCTGCAAATGCATTGGCTGCAAACATTATGAAGAAAGCCCCGAACAAAAAACGCTCATGGCCGTGCCAAACTACGCAGAAGCTGGCAGTTTTGAAGGCAGCCATTACGTGTCAGGACTCCCAAAATTCAGGAAGGAGAGGTAGGTGCTCGGAACTGACCTCCTGATTGGGAACGGGGCTCATGCACACACTGGAAGGGGCGGGCCTGCCTGCAGGGCGGGCGCCAGGGACTGGGCGGGGTGCCGTCCCCCCTTCCAGACTCACCCTGGACCCACACTGTCCCAGAGGCCCCGCTGCTTTGTCCTGTTTGTCCTCCGAGCAGGAGCCACCAGCAGGCCACTGGCCTCGGGCTGCGGGGTGTGGCTTCCAGACAGCAAACCCCTGAGCCGCTCGTCACCGTCACTGTCACCGTCACCGTGTGGTGGTAGCGCAGAGATGCTCGGGACGCAGGCTGGTCCTCCCCAGCAGGATGAGCCCGTGCAGCTGGGTATTTTCCCATTCGTTAGCTTGCGGCCATGTGGTAGTCCTCGTAGCTCAAAGATTGAGTAATAACTTTATATTGGACTAGATTTATCCATTTAAAAACCGTCTCTGCGTTCACATGTCATTAATGTTGTTGAACAGCCACGTTCATGCTTCTTTGCTTAGAGACGTCAGAGGTGGCCTCACTATGGCCTGCAGAGGGCTGTGCTGTGTTGGTGGACGCTGACCAGGCATGGCCCAGTCCTCTGGGAAACTGCAGGGACAGTGTGGCCGCCTCCCCCGGGACCGCATGTCGATGGAGTGTGACGAGGGCTCCGAGCCGTGGACTCTGGTCTCAAAGTGATAGCTCTGCCCTAGGCAGCCCTGTCCTCTCACCTTCAACTCAGTTCTTGCGTGTTACCTTGGTGGAGAGGTGTTTTTTTAAGTGTGTTACTTTATTAATGTATTTTTATTGATTTCAGAGAGAGGAAGGGAGAGGGAGAGAGAATAACTGATTGGCTGCCTCCTGCACGCCCCCACTGGTGATTGAACCCACAACCCGACTATGTGCCCTTGACCGGAATCGAACCTGGGGCCCTTCAGTCCGAAGGCCAAGGCTCATCCTCTGAGCCAAACCAGCTAGGGCTGTGAGAGGTTTTAACCAGTCCCAGCACCTGTCTCTATTTTCATAACCCAACACTTTTTAATAGAGTTTTCCTAAAATGTTCGGTGTGAGCGGCCTTGAGCTGAGCCACGCTGTCCCGATCTCCTGGGGACGTGGCTGCCCCTGCAGGACTCAGCACAGCGTCTTGCAGGTCCTTGTTCAGGGCCCATTGGGCAGTCAGAGCAAGCGCGCCCCCGGGGTGACAGACGAGGGAGTCCTCAGAGCCCCTGGGGTTCCCCAGCCCCACGCGCACCTGTGGGGGAGCGGGCACCCAGGAGGGCGGCGCAGCCCTGCACGGCGCTGGGACCCAGGCTGCTTGTCCGCAGGGACTGGTCTTGTCTGAGGTTCCTGCTGCTGCTCCTGCCCAGCCACGGGCTTGACCGGAGCCCAGGCCTCTGGGTTTGTGAGGATCTAATTTTGAGAAACGTAGAATCGACCACGAGAAGGATGTCAAGAAGCTGACAGGTTTACCTTCCTCTGTATCTCCTTCTAAAAGCAATCCTGATGCTATTCTAGTGAACAGCTTCCATATCAGGAAGACAGCATTTGGTTTTGCCAGTGAGTCTCTGAAATGCATGACAAGCCTGTCCCCTGGACACGCCGGCCTTGAAGAGCAGCCGGGCCTGTGACCATGGCCTTGACTGGTGTGTCCCTGCAGGCGGTCCTCGTGCATCTCCTGGGAGGTGGTGGAAGCCGCGTGCGCCTGTCTGCTGGCTCAGGGCGAGGAGGCGGAGAAGGGGCGCTGCTCGGAGTGCCTGGCCCAGCAGATGGTCCTGGAGGAGTTCGGGAGGTGCCTGTCCCAGATTCTCCACATCGAGTTTAAGTCCAAAGGGTTGAAGATGGAGTAGAGGAGAAGGCGGGGAGGAGAGAGGAGCCGCGGGTCTGCGCTCGGGGTTCCGGGGACCCACGGAGGAGAGGCTGCTTTAAGGAACACGAGGCCGGTCTGTGTCCACAGCTGCACCATCAAGGTGGGCGCTCCCTCTGCGCCAGGGGACCCAGGGGCCTGAGTCTGGGAGGGTTTGCCATCCACAGCTCCTGTTTGAGGAGGGGCGTGACTGACTACATGGCGGGGCCAGGAGGGAGCGTGGGTTCCCATAAACCTGGGGACCTCTGCACCCACACCCAGTGCTGGTGGGTGGACACGGGGCGGGAGAGGGAAGAGTCACCCTATTGACCTCATCCCCTCGGGGAGTCTCCTCTGGAGGCTTCTCTGCATAAAAGCCATCAGATTTCCCAGATTCTTAGAAATAACGTCTCCGCTGGGCTGCTGAGATGCAGCCTGAGATCTCTAGAGAGCCCTGAACACCCAAGGAACGACTGCAGGCGTGTCCCAGGGCCCAGGGCTTGTCAGCCCGGCTGACGCCCGGACACCGAGAGGCAGCAGGCGCACAGGCCGCGCTTCCATCCGTAGCATCTTGAGTTGTGGGACGGAAATGTATCTAGTTTCTTAGGTATTTCTATTTGATTGTGGAAAAGCTCTATTGTCCAATAACTTCTCCATGATTACTGTTAAGCTATTGTTGTTGGTAGAGTATGGTTAAACTGACTAGTTTGCAGAAAGTAGCAGGTAATATTAGCTGTTAAGTTGACTCCTTTGGTTCTATTGTGATAGCAAAGAATAAAAATTTCAGCCGTCTCCTGTGGCTGTAATTAGCTTGGTGACTGAAAATACACTTCGTCATGTTTCTGTGTGGATGGTACTGGCCCCACAGACAACCTTCGGAAGCTCATTGCAGGCACAGCAGGGCGGGCAGTGTGGCTGGGGCCTCTGGCACATTGGGGAGCAGGAGCTGGAGCAGGCCAGCACAGCGATATTTGGAACAGCCTCCTTCTGATACTTCATTTCTCTGTTTCAACCCCCTTGTCTCCCACCCGGATCCAGACTCTGAGGCCAAAGCCCGAGGTAGAGGCAGAGCTGTGAGACTGCGAGTTCTCGGGAGCGGAGCTGGGGCAGAGCGGGGACACTGCGGCCAAGGGTCACCTGCCCCCCCACACCCTCGGGTGGAAGGGGGCCGCAATGGGGCTCTGTGACTCCTCCTGGGGCTGCCTTCCTTCTCAGCAGGGCAAATGGCTGTATCTGCCGGCCACACAGGTAGTTTTAAAATTTCTAGTCACCACATTTTAAAAAAGTGAAAAGGAACAGGTGAAATTCGATTTAATAATCTTTTTTTAAAACATATTTTTATTGATTTCAAAAAGGAAGGGAGAGGAGAGATAGAAACATAAATGATGAGAGAGAATCATGGATCCGCTGCCTCCTGCACGCCCCACACTGGGGATCGAACCTGCAACCCTGGCATGTGACCTGACCGGGAATCGAACCGTGACCTCCTGGTTCATAGGTCAATGCTCAACCACTGAGCCACACCAGCCAGGCCAATTTAATGATTTTATTTAACCCAATATATCCAAAACACTATCATTCCTATATGTAACCAAAGTAAAAGTGGTTGTTCCGTCTCACGTTCTTCGTGCACCAATCCTAACATTCAGTGAGTGTTTCGCACTCACCACCATCTTAGTCCACACCAGGCCCAGGGCAAGTGCCGGGAGTCTGAGGGTCAGGTGTGGAGGGGAGGGAACAGGTCCCCAGCCCATTCTGACCTCAGAGCCCAGAGGCAGCCAGGATCCAGCACAGCAGGGAAGCCCACCTGCACCCTGGGGTGGGGACCAGCGCTGCAGCCAGGTGTGCTGAGCTGAAGCCTAAAAGCCAGGGACAGGCCACTGGAAGGCGTGACCCCTGTGGGTTGCTCAAGGGGGAGGGTTTAGCAAGTCAGCACAGCTTTTAGGAAAGTCAGTGTGAGAACAGCCAAGTGCAGGTGCGTATAGTCATGTGATGCAGCCAGAGACCTGCTCCCAAGGCCAAGAGGCCCTGCGTCGTCACGTGACCTAAGAGAAGGCTCTCCCCCATCCCCACCCCCTCGCCGCATTCCTCTGGGTCTTCAGGTGTGACTGCCTCCCCCTCGGGATGCACCATCACCACCGGTCCTCAGAGCTTCTGCCAGGTGCTGGCTTTCCGCACCCGGACAGGGCACACATCTCCTCAGCTAGGAAGCACTTGAAGTTTTCGGGACAATCACCTTTCTACCTGGACCACACGAATTTTAATTCCCTGCCCTGTGGGTCCCCAGCTCACTCCCGGCCCCACCCCCTGCTGGCCCCAGGACGGCAGGGGCATCTGTTCCTTCATAATTGTGTCTGACTCAGCTTAGTGTGCACACGCCTTGTTCCCGATGTGCACCGATCTAATGCACGTGATTACAATCCAGCCGTATCTTTTTCATCTTTTTAAATCCTCACCGAGGATATGTTTTTTATTGATTTTTTTTAGAGACAGGAAGGGAGAGAGAGAAACATTGATTGGTTGCCTCCCATAGGCACCCTGACCAGGGACTGAACCTGAAACCTGGGTGTGTGCCCTGACTGGGACTTGAACCCACCGCCTTTTGGTGTGCAGGACGACACTCCAACCACTGGGCCACCCGGCCAGGGCTCCAGCTTGTCGTAAAGCACTCTGGTGGTGGTGACAGACAGGCACAAGGAAGGAAGACACGGAAACACTTGCTGGTTTTTATTTTGCCACGAGAATAATTACCAAAGGGGAAATCTTAAATTATAACAACACAGCTTCAAAGGAGAGGGGGGCTGGCTGACTCGGGGAGTTGGCACAAGCTGACCCATCGTCTCAGAATCTGACTTCCTGGGACGGGAGGGCCTTTCCCGGCTCCCTCAGGGTGACTGCTCTGTGTCTTCCCAGGACGCCGCCGAGGGGAGTATGGGCAGCAGAACCCCGGTCTCTGCAAAGAGACGGACGCTGGGTGATGAGCCCCTGCTGTCCACACGGAGGACATCACAGCCCCAGCTCGCCTTACAGGGTCCAGACAGAACAGAATCAGCCTGGACTCTCAAACTCACACGAAATCGTGACGTGTGAAACTTGACAACCAGCTGTCTCTCGTGAGCATCACAGCGTCCATCTCCCCGGCCCCCGCCCCCACCTGCACGGTTAACTCTCAGAGCGCAGGCCTCCTGCGGGGCAGCTGGACCTGCGAGCTTATCTGGCAAAGGCCAGACCCTCACTGTTGAATGAATGACAAGCATGAAGCACAGACGGCAAAGCCAGGGTTGAAATGGGCAGGGGGAGCCTCATGGCCGGCAGCGTCTGCAGGAGGTCCAGAGCGGAGGGCCATGCATTTAAAAGCAGCCTGCCCCAAACCCAAAGGAAAGCCCACATCTGACGGATGGGCCCCTGTTCAGTTGCAGTGCTGACGAGACCTGGTCTCAGATGCCTGTGAGGAGCGGGCGGAGGGGCACTGTGGCCGGACAGGGACAGCGGTTGTTGCCACGTCAATAGTGCACGGAGAGAACGGAACCCTGAGGCGCACGCTCTCTCTCTCTCTCTCTCTCTCTCTCTCTCTCTCTCTCTCTCGGAACAGTAGGTCTGATGACCCTTTCAGGGACGGTGTGGGACCGGCAGCAAGCCCAGCCCTGCTTTAGCTAGTTCCAGTTCCCAGGCTGTAACTCCAACCAGCAGGCGTGGGGATCGGTCGCTGCAGAAGTCTAGGGAACCCTTTCCGTTTTAAGTGCCCAGGGTTCTAGTGGGTGGAAATGTAAATCGGCCACATTTCACTGACCTTTGAGATGCAAGAAAGTCAGAAACTCCATTATCTTGCGCACATCATCATCGTTCCAGGGCAGCCGCCCGTCAGAGTCGCCTAGAAACCAAAAGGATTGACATTTACGACTTACACAGATGCTCCGGGCACCCCGAGGTCATGAACCCCAGCATCTCTGTCACCCATCTCGGGGACCCCTCTCCTGGAGGCCCCAAGTCTAGAGGGCTCTCTGCCGTCCCTGCGCTGCCCAGCATCTTACTCCCACTGTCGTTGCTTCTGTGGCTAGCAGTGGACAGATGTGGCCGGGCCCGGCTCGGACCACCGCCCTGTGCGCCCAGAGGTGGACAGTGGAGGGCCTCGGAGCCCTGGGACCCGTCCCCTCACCTGCCCTCGCGCCGTCTTCAGGCTGCAGGTCCCGCTTGCCAGCAAGGCCGTGCTTGTCATGGAATGACCTGTGGTTGTCAACAGCATCTGTTTGCAGAGCAGAGCAGACAGCCCCTGAGTGTCGTTACTGTACCCTCCCCCCGCCCAAAGGACCCGACTACCATGGCAGCCCAGTGTGGGAACCACAGGAGGGAGGACAGCGTGCTCGGGACCTGAGGCAACAGCGTGTACCTGGGGCCCAGTTCGTCACCAGGTGCTGGGACTCCACAGGACCAGAGCCCAGAGCCCACAGGCCTGGCGCAGCGGGGAGCACAAGGCTCCCAGGGGTGCTGGCAGGCGACCGGGGCTCGGGGCCTATGTTTCTGAAAACAAGGGAGGTACCGAAATATTTCTATTTTTCAAAGACCACTCTGGCAACTGTGTGGGAGATGGATCGGAGCCAGGGAGAGAGGGGGGTGGGGAGGCGGGGAGAGAGACAGACAGACAGACAGACATGCTTGGGGTGGGGTAGGCTGGGTGACTGTGTGTGCATTGGGTGGTGTGCTTCTTGAGAGCTCCCTTAGGAAACTATTGGAAGAAAGAATGTGGGCTCTATACCAAGTGGCCTGGGATGAGGAGAGGGGGCTGGATTTGGGGCGACTTAGGAGATAAAGGAGAAGAGGGGACGAGGGCGAGGACGGCTCAGGGTTTCTGGCTGCTGGGCCTGGTGGGCTGTGTCATCCACAAGCCGGATGAATGAAAATTAACTCATTTTCCCAGGACAGAGCTCCTGGCACGAGATTGAGAAAGGCAGTAAGTGAGCTGATCCAGCGGGCGGCTGGGTGTCCGCTGCAAACGCGTTCTTCCGGCGCTGTTTCTACGTGGGCGGTGGAGGTCACACGGGCGGTGGAGGTCAAGGGCAAACCATTAGGCTGTAAGGACTTCCCACAAAGAGCTGTCTGCATGCCAGCTCCTGGGGGTCCAACTCAACAGAGACTTAAAACTTCACAGTGGAAAAGGGTGTTTCCCAACTCAGGGTGAAAAGTCTCCTTGACATGCTGTCAACATTCCAACGGTTCCTCCTGTTTCGGGGGCCAGGAGCACCCAGAGACGAGGTGCTCTCTGAGGGAGAGAGCTCAGGGGTGCGAAGGGTGCAGGGGAACGTGCACCCCTTCCAAGCACCCATGGGTCCTGCCTGGCCCACCTAGTGTTTGCCATCAGTGCCGGGCTCTCAAGGACCCCCGGGCGATGGATAAACCGTCTGAGCAGGAGAAAGTATGTACTTAAACTCCAGGATTAAGGACTAAGACAGCTCCCGGGCAGTTTAAACGGTGGAGGCAGCCCTGAGGAATGTGGACAAAAGGGAGAAGGCAGGAGACAGGGTGCCAAGGGCCGCAGGGGGGTCAGGATTCAAGGCAGAGTCAGGCACCCCGAGGCTGGGGGAGGGCAGGTGGGGTCAGGGCAGGGACTGAGTGACTGAGTCCCTCTAGGCCCTACGGAGGGGGAGGGGGGTGTGGCTTCAGGGAGGGCGATGTGCCACCTAGAGACGTGGCAAGTGCCATTAACCTAAGGGGACCCCATCCTCCAAGCCTCAGGAAGCGCCCCTGCCCTTCATCTAACACTGGACCAGCCTCGGGTCAGAGTGACGCCCAGCAGCTCAGAAACGGCAGGATTCACACTCATGGCTGCCGCAGCGGCAGGTGCAGCGTCTGCCGGTTCAGGTTCTTGGTCACTTACTTGGACCCAGAAGGTAGCCAGCGCTGTTCAGGGTCCAGCCCCTCTTCTCCTTCACCTGAGACGGGAGAAAGGGGCGGATGGCCAGGACCTGCCTGGCCCAGCAGCCTGCGTGGGGCCGCATGGCGGGAGGCTGGACTCCCCACCACGGGCCCAGTCACACAGGCCGTGGTCACTCTCACATAACGAGCCGGCGCAGACCGTTCGGGGAAGAGGCCCAGCTCTCCGGGCAGAACATCGGTCGGATCACACGCACTTGCGAAAGGCCGGACATGGCAGGGCCGGTGCGCGCATCATCCGCACCGCTCGCTTCTCAGTGAGCCCGGACCGGCTCCAGTGACCGACCCTCTGCGGGTGAAGCTGCGGCTCGGCGTCCAGTCCCCGCTCACTGACTCCCAGCAGGCTGTCCTCGCCCCGCACACACCGGGGAGGAGCGATGGCGGGAGGACCCAAGGGGGAAGCGTACTCGCCGGCCACACACACCCCACGCACGCTCTCGGCACCAGCGCCCACACTCCCGCCCCCTCTGTCTGGAGGGGTGACGGCGCACTTACCGGGGACCGAGGGTGGCCGACAGGGCGGTGAGGAGCAGCGCGGCGAGCAGGAAGGCGCCGCTCTGGGCATCTGCAAGGGAAGGGGCAACGGCGCCGCGCACGTCGGGCGGAGCTCGGACCCC